ACCCGCGAGCGGTACGGAAATACCAAACGTGTTATCGAGCAGGTGAAAAAGATAAATGACCACTTACAGTGACTTCCAGACGGACTGAACCATCTGACAGAATCGCAACATAGGCTAATTAATGCTGTGGCTGATTTAACCTAAAAGACGTCCTTGAAAAACGCTCCACGAGGTGCTGGAGCTAACACAAACATACACGTCACGCCACGAAACGGATATGTCCGGACTGGTGTGACATTTACATGCAATAATATGTTTACTAAGACGGGCCTATTCTTATGGGCACATATTGTCAGAGTTCCTTTTAGCAGTGACTTACGACCCAGCCAGATTCCATAAAGGCAACGACAACACCAAATATTCTGACACGTGCGCACCTGACCTGAATGAATTCGTGAAACTGAACACACAGAGGTCACCAATCATAAAAATCATTGCTTCGTAAAGCACAGACATGAGACCGCGTACCCAGACCGACAACCCATGACAGATCACCCACTTATGCAAACACGGAAACCGCGTAGCAAAACCAACAAACAAGCACCGCCTTCTAAAATAGACATGTGAAATAAGGGCATTGTACTCAGGATAAGGACAATAAACGACATTTTACCACACTCGTAGAATAAGGATATTACACGGAGAACTCGCTCTAATATGCCAAAGCGTTTGCTCATCACCGGCCTAGCCCGAACGCATGTGGATGAATAGAACAGCAACGGCCACCGAGACTGGCGCGCCATTTCAAAGGGTTAAACTAGCTTGTTCAGGGGGTAAAAACGGGTAATTCAAAGGGTGAAACGGACGTGTTCAAATTATGGGGACGGGTTAGAAGGGCCAGGCCGACAAGCCCAGAGGAGTTAAAACCAGGAAACTCAGGAGGGTGAAGCCGGCACGCCCAAACCGGCGAAGTCTACAGTGTCAAGCGGGTGAAGCCGGCGGGCCCAGCCGGGTGGGACCGGCAAGCTCAGATGGTAGAACCGGCCAGCGTCAGCGGCAAAAGCGGCGAACTAGAACGGGTGAAGCCGGCAGGCGTAAACGCGTGAAACCGGCATCAATGGCTGAACATCCGGTCCAGGCAGCACGAACCTGGCTGGGCGCTGACTCACATGTCTCGACGAGGAGCTCCCTGACATGACTGGCGGCCAGCGGCTCTGAATCAAGACTTACTGTCGATTTTCAAAGGGCCTTTTAATATGGAAAGCTACGACTATGGCGACGAGTCATGATTGTAATGGACCCTTTAAATTCAAGAGCCGTGTCGTAGCGGAGCCCGCCGCAGCCCCGACCGAGTTGTGGCGGAGCCCGCCGCAGCTCCGACCGAGTCGTGGCGGAGCCCGCCGCAGCTCCGACCGAGTCATGGCGGAGCCCACCGCAGCTCCGACCGAGTCGTGGCGGAGCTCGCCGCAGCTCCGACCGAGTCGTGGTGGAACCGGCCGCATCTCCGCCCGAGTCGTGGAGGACCCCGCTGCAGCTCCGACCGAGTCGTGGAAGAGCCCGCCGCAGCGCCGACCGAGTCGTGGAGGACCTCACCGCAGTTCCGACCGAGTCGTGGAGGACCCCGCTGCAGCTCCGACCGAGTCGTGGAAGAGCCCGCCGCAGCCCCGACCGAGTCGTGGAGGAGCCGGCCGCATCTCCGACCGAGTCGTGGCGGAGCTCGCCGCATCTCCGACCGAGTCGTGGAGGAGCCCGCCGCAGCTCCGACCGAGTCGTGGAGGAGCCGGCCGCATCTCCGACCGAGTCGTGGCAGGAGCACGCCGCAGCTCCGACCGAGTCGTGGAGGAGCCGGCCGCATCTCCGACCGAGTCGTGGCGGACGCCGCCGCAGCTCCGACGCTGACCATCGGCCTCGCCTTCGCGGCCGCGATCCGCAATCAATATCCGTTGGCGTCGCTTCGCCGACTGTGTCGGGTTAAGGCGGTGCGGTAGGGTTCCAGCGCCATGAGCGCGATCCTTGGTCCGGTGGAGGCAGCGGCTGCCGGCCTCAGCCTCGCGTGCCGCCCATGGTACTGTTGACAGCGTCGCGCCGGCGGACGGTGTCAGTGCCAGCTGCGATCAACGATCGATATCAGTCGCAGCTATCTGAGTCAATCGAGGTGATTAAAGATTTGGGCGGTACAACGGCTTTTGAGCGAGGCGAGCCTGGCTCAACGGCTGGCGTTGGTGGCGGCGGTAGGCATATGCGACGACTCTTCATGCAACTTTCCCGGTTTTATGCGTTATAAGTCAGGTTCTCAATCGCCGTGACGTTGCTAGCGTTGAAGCAACGCCCAATAACTGGCGTTTTTATCGGCCTACTGAGCACGCCCTACTCGCCACTGAAATTTTGAAGTGTTTCTTGTTCGAGAAAGCCATCCTTTGAGACTACGTTCAGAATGTATGGCCAGCCACACGTAACAGGAGCGGAGCTTTTCAAAAAGCACCAGTCAGAGGTAAAATTCACCGTTCTTACTTTACAATCCTGTATCCACCACTAGGACAAATACGGGGCATACGCATCGCAAAATGCTCTTTATGGGTGTTTGTGTCCATTTGTACCACGTACCATTAAACAGCGCAGTTAGATCGACTTACTAGGTGCTATTACAGCATCTGTTTACGCTGGCAGTCGCTTCGAGCCCTTGAACGGCAAGCTTGGCTCACTTGCTTCAGAGATCATAGGATGTCAAATTCACCCTCCTTACACACAGAATGAGGCGATGTCCGCCGCATGGAAAAGGGGTGGAGGCAATAAGCCATGGCGCGCAAAAAAGTGACTATCGTAGGTTTATGACACACTAGTTGGGATGGCCAGCAATGCCCGGAAGATGAAGAAATTTGTTCAAGTATTTAGTTGTGGAAAACGCGTCCACAAAAATACAGCTACTGATTCATTTCAGGAGCAATGCGGCCAAAACGATCTAATGATACGGCAGCGCCAGACATTATGCTTTAAAGAAACAAGTGCACACGTTAATGTACGGCTTGCGTAAGCTACACACCCGGCTCAAGCTACCCCGTAAGGATCTCTTCTCCGAAACAAGTGATCCTCATTCTATTGGGTCGTTGTTTGTCCAGCTGATTGGTCAGAGGGGTCCCGTGCCCCTCCGAGGTACGGCACCGCAATCCGATCCTGGCTCCGGCACTCCCAGCAGCGCACGGGTGGAGCTGTGGGCAGCCGAGGAGGAACACTACACCATATGGCGATGGTCAGGTGCAGGCTGGGCACCGGCGTGCATCGCGTTCCTGCGTACATTCCTGGCGCAGCTTCATTATTGCGTTAAGAAATCTTACGGACGGACTCCAGACCCATGATCTTCTTTCAGATCCATGATATTTTTCGGACCCATGATATTCAGCCAGACAGAAAGACACAGATGATAGACGATGACCTTTTATGGATGCAGGAAGACATGCACACCAGAAGGGGTGCCTAGCTGTAACCACACGATCAAGGGCCAGTACAACAAATACGACTATCGACCTCGCTGTTTCACAGGGATCGCTGCGTAATTTGCTGTCATATTGTATTCCTTCTAAAAAAAAATACTACTAGCAATGTTCTTCACGCACCATATGTCATCTCATGTTATTTTGCTGATGGCCTTCGATGTCAAGTGACTTAAGATCGGAGGTACCTTCGCCGACTTCCCCCTGACATCGGCGAATGCATTTATCGTCATTAATGCGTCAAGATCGGCACCCATTTAATTGGGGATAAATACATTGTGATTTTATGAACTGGGCGTTGTTATTTAGACATCTTTTTATATTAATTATGCCAGAAGGCACCGTTTTAAAATGATTAAATCAAGCAGGCATTGGCTATACCAATAAACAGAAACTATAATGATGTCTTGTCAATGAAGCCAATATTTGAGCGCTGTAGTCATGTAACCAGTATCTCCTGGAATATTGCAGGAAGATCAAATCAGAATAAGAGGTCCCTACTCAACATAAAAAACCAGAAGTGCAGGGGCTTTCCTGTCTAGACCAAAAAGCATGTGCTGATGCTGCGCTATGTTTCATCTCCAATCTTTTTCTTCACATATTGGCTTTGTTGCCAACCACCACAGATGATTTTATTGATAACTTTGTCCGGATTGGTCTGTTAGTGCCACCTTCTGTGGCGATTTTGGTCCAAGTGATAGGCGCATGCAGTGCGAAACCCTTTGCCTGCAAGAACGTAGGGTAAAACCAGTTAAAGGCCCATATTTGTGTTTCAAGAAGCAAATATATCAGATATTGTGACATGAGAGCATGTTATATCGCAAAACGCCCATACATGTTGCCCTCATTCACCTCCATGGACGATGATACACAAGCACACGGCGATCTAGGGTAACGCACTTGAATTTTGATGTTGCCAAAAAAGCCTACCGTAGTCGTTATCGAAGATTCTCAGCAGCCTGGCTGAGGCTAGATTATCACCCTTCGACCTCTTACTGGATCCCAGTGCCTTGTATTTTGCGGACTTCAGACTTCGGAGCCTATTTCATGCCCACGATAGACTTTTTCGTATGGCCAAGATAAGACTCATGTCATTTGGACAACTGCATGGGTTCTCATATGCCACGACAGATTGTGCGGTTTGATTTGGATTGCAAGGCCCGACATCTAATCCCGCGAGTTGGTAGTATTTCTCTGACCCATCACGATAGCTAACGGGTGAGGTCACCGCATGCTAACAGCCGTGGCAATGACGGACGACGCACTTGCCCACTCAAACGCTCCGTGTTCCGTTCAGAACTTGTTCCTTTAGAATGCACAAATACTTATCGCGAGGCCACCATGCAGGCAGCAATTCACCCTTTCGCTGTTGTTTCCGCGGCAAGGGCGACACCCCTGGGGCCGCTAAACTTCCTATGTTGCGCGGCCGTCCCGAGAGGCGGCGCTGGCGGCGGCGGCCGCCACTTCAGCGCTGTGTGCACGCGCGTTGCCTTGCCGACTGTCCTCCATCGAATTCCAATGCGGTTTGTATGGCCAAGGAGCGCGCCAGCGGCTCAGTGTGCGGCTGAGCAAGCTGACCGGAACAGAGCGCCCCAGGCGCCCTAGGTCGCTGACATCCGACGGCGGAGATCGCACGCTCACAGCTGGTCTGGATAGCAGGTAACCGGGGGGAGAGGGAACACCCCCGGTCGCGTGTCGTCGAGCAGGTGGTCTTCCTTCGAAGCGTGAGGAGTAAATGTACGATTAAGACTGACTCCTTGTCAGCCGTTTGGTAAAGAACCGTTCTAGGTCAAGTGAGGATGAAGTGTGATGCCGTGACGCATTCGCGACGAGTAAGTTGGGCACACGAAGGGTTTAAGGATCACCACAGCCGCCACATTTTAGATTTTAGTGGATGCGACGCTTAGCATACGTGCGGTAGCAATTTAGTTGATTTTCCAGGATTGACCAGTTGGAGCTAATGGATTTCTCTGAGGATTATCTAATAGCTGTGTGCCAAAAAGCTTTTTACTAACTCAGACGCTGCTCCACTTTGTGGTCTCGTCGACAGCGAATTGATTGCGTGCGTGCTGTGGTACGACTTTCCGCACGCTTTACGAAAGACGAAATGCAGCATTTCGATTTATGTCGTCCAGCAAAGCCTCTGCAAACGGCAGAATCGCAGCAAGACCATCTTCAAAAGGCGGGCCGACATGTGCCGTGCAGCTCAGGCCCCAACCTGGTCTGGTGGCTGTCCGGTCATTACAGCACGCTATGTCAGAAAAACGCAGAGCCCATCCATCATGACATTCGAACATAGGTCCGCTAGAGGGGATATAGATCCAAGGACATGTACCACATTACTGATTGTGTCACGTTTACTTAATCATGGCTCCCATCACTACAACGCCATAGAATGTTCGTCTTGTGTCAAGGGTGAAGGAAGACATCTAAATATTTCATGCGTATGTGTATTTCGTTCGCAACAGTGCCACGCACACATGAACAAAATGAGCCACACTAATATGCAAGAGCGCTGCACTCTATGGCAATGTTTATTTTAGAAGAAAATGCATTTTATGGTTGGCAAGAGCTTGCTGACTGTGCTCTTGTCTTCATACTGGTAGCCTGTTTTGGAGCCGTTTGATTGTTTTACTAGGCATAACGAATTGGTATGACACTACAAGCAACAAATGTAATCCATTGTCCAATTCGGGCAAGGGCGATCACGTGTTGTTTTCGGCGAGTATTGAAGAATTTGACCTTCAAAAGAACTCTATTTCGTAAGGCAATAAGAACTATGCGCGACCTGGGGACACCTTGCATAATAGATGGATATCATTACAAGCTGCACAAACAAGGTGGGATATTTTCCTAGGCTGACAGATATGGGCATGTCCTCCGTTCTATATTCAACGTCGGCAAGTTCTGTCGAACGGCTGGCGTCGGCAAAGTTCGTCTGAACGTCCGATCTGACGGACTGAAAGCGTATGTAGCTTGGAAACAAATCCTGGCTGAGCTCCAAATCCGGCTGCTGCCGCTGCGGATCGACCCCGACTTCGCTTCACCTTTGATGTGCGCTTCTATTGGACGGTAGAAGTTAAATTCAAGAAAACATACAACCGCCGACAGCTTTTCCAGAATGTAGCGAATGAGGTAGCCAATCTTCTGGAGTTAAAAATTTGGTCCACCTTGCAAAGCCTCGCTACCTACCTACATATGCCAGCTCAAAGTCAGGCTATGGCTGTCAGAGAAGACAGTTCTTAGGGAATCACTCAACCTGATGCGGCAGTAGCGAAGTATTACGCAAAGCCTAACCACTTTCAGACAGTTTCTGGTGAAACTAGACAATAAGATTTAGGATGAAAACTTATTTCATTGTCCTTGGGTCTGGCACGATGATCAGGTCGAGATCAAAGCCAAAATTTCATTTACTTGAGACATGGCTTGGCGTAGTTTTTGGCGCTCGGTTGGAATTTTCAATCACTGAGAGGTCGATACATGGTTTATTCGAAGGACGTATAATTTGCAAGAGGTAATTGACCTTGACTGACCCTGATTCATACTTTGTTTTAGGCACATGCCACCTGGCGTAATCCTTGACGCTTACTGAAACTCAAAAACCAAAGCGAACTTGCAAGTTTTTGGCCATCGTGGCATTCTGAAGATCAAATGAGGTCGTTGACCTGAAATGAGCGCCAGTGACCTTTTGCTTAGTAGAGGCATGTAGGTTGGCTACCTGAGATGAACTGGGGGTCTCAACGTTCGAAAAAAGTGATTTCACACACGGGCACATCTATTTTGTAGATTTGGTGTATCTACAGTTCTTGATGCCTGAGATCTCAGGGGTCAAATTTCCGTTTCAGTCTATGGCGTTGTGACTCAAAACAAGGCAGAGAATGATATGTTATGCGCTGGACAACTGTTTATTGGAAGGCTGATTTTATTTTCCTTAACTAAAAGCCGAATCACCAGGCTAATTTTTTCTAGTTCTTAATGACCACGAAAGTAATGCCTCTGCCTGATGACTGAACGCATATGTGACGAGTGGCCGTAACAGCTATTTTTCAGTGATACCCGAGCTGTAAGTAGGTGGAGAGTAAACCAAAAATACGTGCAGATAATTGCGCAGCCAAGTGACTGACAATCACTTTTGTACGGACGCGCATCAATGTCCAGGTCTTTTCAGTTTCGGAGGATACGTAGCTCGTCAAGATGAGGGAGATCGTGCACATCCAGGCGGGACAATGTGGCAACCAGATCGGCTCAAAGGTGAGGGGCAATCAGCCGGGTCACGTGGCTGGCACGCACGTCACGAACGTACCTCACTACGACAGGAGGGCCCAGCACGGTCTCTCGTCTCTTCTCAGCATGAGTTATCAACTCTGTTTCATATGGCAGCTTCTTAAGCACGTGCTGTGTGTGATATGAGTGTTTGTTATTATGCTGTATGTTAAGTATATGTCATTGGGATTTAACAATGCACTCGGCTGCTGAGGCTATATGACGTCGCCCGCTTCTCACCCTGGCAGGAAGGGTGGGCACCGCGGAGGATCGAACCCCGTACCTCTGGTTTCCCAGACGCGCAGCTTAACTACCACACTATCGGGGCCCTCTGCTTGTTGAGAGTTTTGTTATTTGCATAAATACATTTGCACAGTTTTACCAGGCAATGATGGCCTTCAATATTCCGTTACAATGCGTATTTAATGCATAAACATATTCTGTGGTGAAAACAAATCTGTTTTTTCAGCCTGTAGTCCTTGGTCATCCATCACTATAATTGTGAGCGAGTCGTGAGCTTGAGACATCCCGTGACAGCATGAGGTCAGTCATGAACACGAACGAGCGTAACCACTACTGTGATTCCCCATTGACTGGGCTCTTCGTATCTATGGGTGAATTACCTTCCAGCGATAAGGGAGCGGGCTTGGTCTCGGTCCAATCACAAGAACGTGATTGAGCACAGCTGTGACTGTTGTGCAGTCACAGGTGGAGCTCTGATGACATTTGGCTGTCTATCGCTCTGTGTCCTCAACGGGAGGTTTGGGCCCCTAAGGCCATGACGAAAGCTTATAAAGACGATTTTTTTAAGGTTTTGACAGGAATTTTTCTCCATAACACTTATATGACCTTTAAAATACGTACGCCAGACCTCAAAAGGCCTCTATGAGCTCCTCGGTGCAATCTTGAGTACACAAGCAAACATGGCGGTGCACAGCCGAGCATGCGTTATTTCATCGTTTATTAAACGCATGCGGTTAATCACGAGGACGAGCAATCATATCCACAGCGGCAGCGCAATGGTAAGACACAAGGGAGCGCAGGTCTTGCCGATCGATAGAGCGTGACCGGGTGCAACTATGGTTCGATGACGAGAACTTGGGTGAGCCAGGCTACGCGTCAGTCGAGGAAACTTGAGCGAACCCAGCCTGGGATGTGGCACAATAACAAGACCGTGGTCAAACGTCACCGGAATCTCGTTCAGTGGCGAGAGCGCCTGCGGACGTTAATTTGGCTGTGATATAATTATAAGACCTCGAGCGTGGTTGGAAGCCAGCTGATGGGCGCGGGTCGATCTCATACTGACCCGCTTCCGACGGCCCGCGGCCGGTTCACCGAAAAGTCGAGCCGAGTTCTAACTGCACGTTACCCGTTTGTTGTGGTTACGCCACGCTTGGCAGCTGGGCAACTGGTGACGTACCATGCGGCGTGGCCTTCCCAGAGGCAACTTCCGTGCGAATATTTGAACAGCAGTACTTCGCTGAAGGCGGCGTTCTTCGAAGCGCGCGATTGGCTGCCGTTAGGGGGGGGGGGGGCAAGAGTTTGGCGTCTAGCAAATTGGTGACGACTTGCTGGAGCCGGCGTTGGATGCGCAAAACCTAAGACTGTGCTAACTTACAAGGTGAAGAGACGCTTCAAGCCTTGTAGAGTCTTATGTGAAATACAATCGAATTGTAAAAGCTGTGAATGGTGGAGTAGTAAGATATCGATCGCAGAAAAAAACGTGAATGTGTTTCACGTGCTCCAAGCAAGCATGTGGGATATGATACGGAAATACCACGACATCTATATGCGGAGGAGGGCGACCTCCACCCCTCATCAGCATAGTTTTCACATCTGCTCATGCAACGAATGAAAGGCACTGATAGCATCTAGAGCCCGCTCTATAGGCAACAGGCTTCACGTTCTGTGGCAGCGGTTTGATCTATGTGAACTGTACCGGTTGGGGTTTGGGCTTCAAAGAACTTGAACTGTCGTTGATGGTAACGCTCCGGAAAGCTCAATCCTCATGGGCTTCAACCTCATGTGGCGCATGCTTCAAACTGCCTGTGTTCGTTGTAGAAATCAGCTGACTGTATTGCGACGTTTCGGTTCATGAGGTTTGAAGCGACAACGTTATTCACCTTCACCGATAGGGTGCCTTAAGGTTGGAACACTTCAACGGTTATCGCGTTATGTACAGTCGTGGTCAATGGCAGCTGGGGAGCGGCTCTCTAACAGAGGCGTGCTTGAACAAAACTAGCCGAGTGGGCTAGTTTTGCTACGATGTACCCTGTTACGATGAGCGTGGAGCGGTCCCGAATGCTGGGAATGTCTCCTTGGATGTCGGCCGTTTTCACCATTCGGGGAAAAAGTAAACACTGTTGGGCAATTTGTTTGTTGTGCTTACGTTACGTTGATTTGTCATGAACATGATGTCTAAGATTGGGAGGGCTCTCTACTTGTCAAATAAAGAGGGTTGATACATGAGTTTAAGGGAAGGACTCTTGGTCCTTCAGCTCATATGCTTACACCCCTGTTCTCAAAAAAGATTGGCTCTTTATTTAACTATACAGCACTTGATAACTCAAACGTAAGTCAAATTCGAACGGTTGGAAAAGGGGAGCAAGATTATCGTTCAAACGACGTTATTTCACGTTGTAGAACGACGTTTACTGAGGTAATCTCAGCATCTCTGAAAACAGCGTTCTTGCACCAGTGCAGCCGGAGGGGAGCGTCTTCCCGTTCTACAAAGATAGACATTTCTGCGTAAGGTAGCATCGCATTCATACGCACTGGCCAAAATTGCGGGCAACTGCGTGCCAGTACGTTGATTCCTATCACCATCTAAGCTCGACGCTTATCGTAATGTTTGTGAGTGGACGAGCAACGAGCCACCCGGTCTCACCAGCATGCGTTATTCACCTGTCCGGTGCGTGCCCGTCGTCGATCCAAGCGGGGGGAGGGGGAGGGGGAGCAGAGCCGGCCTCGTGCATGTTACGCTGTGATCGATTCGACGTCGTGCAGGCCACGCCCAACAAACACGGCGTCGTCGAGTGCCGACCGCAACAGACCCGCTGCAGGCTCAGGCCGAGCGGGAAGGGAAGGTTGAAGGGAGGGGGTAGGAGAGCTACGACGCACAGACCTGCTGCAGGCTCAGGCCGAGGTAGAGGTCGAAGGGTGGGGGGGGGGGGGGGGGGGGGGGGTGGAGCTACGACGCACAGCGCTGGGGTTGCCCAGGACTGAACTCGCCGATGGGGGTGGCCCCGGACTGGACTCACCGACAAGGTGTCCCCGGACCGGCGGGTGGTCATCTGAAGGCGGGTAGCAGCTTGCTGGGCCAATGAGCACGCCCGCTGTGGCGTTTGAGTAACGTGTATGTGTGTGTGTGTGTGTGTGTGTGTGTGTGTGTGTGTGTGTGTGGGTGTGTGTGTGGTGTGTTGGTGCTGTGTGTGTGTGGTGTGTGTAGTGTGTGTGTGGTGTATGTGTCGTGTGTGTTGGTGTGGTGGTGTGTGTGTGTGTGTGGTGTGTGTGGGTGTTGTGGTGTGTGTGTGTGTGTGTGGTGTGTGTTGTGTGGTGGTGTGTGTGTGTGTGGTGTGTGTTGTGTGGTTTGTGGGGTGTGTGTGTGTGTGGTGTGTGTGTGTGGTGTGTGGTGTGTTGTGTGTGTGTGTTGTGGTGGTGTGTGTGTGTGTGTGGGGTGTGTGTGTGTGTGTGTGTGTGTGTGTGGTGTGGTGTGTGTGTGTGTGTGTGTGTGTGTGTGTGTGTGTGTGTGTTGTGTGTGTGTGTGTGTGTGTGTGTGTGGTGTGTGGTGGTGTGTGTGGGTGTGTGGTGTGTGTGTGTGTGTGTGTGTGGTGTGTGGGTGGTGTGTGTGTGTGTGTGTGTGTGTGTGTGTGTGTGTGTGTGTGTGTGTGTGTGTTTGTGTGTGTGTGTGTGTGGTGGTGGGTGTGTGTGTGTGTGGTGTGTGTGTGTGTGTGTGTGTGTGTGTGTGTTGTGTGTGTGTGTGTGTGTGTGTGTGTGTTGTGTGTGTGGTGTGGTGTGTGTGTGTGTGTGTGTGTGTGTGTGTGTGTTGTGTGTGTGTGGGTGTGTGTGTGTGGTGTGTGTGTGTGGGTGGTGTGTGTGTGTGTGTGTGTGTGTGTGTGTGTTGTGTGTGTGTGTGTGTGTGGGTGTGTGTGGTGTGTGTGTGCGATCGAGACCTGACAGGTTGCGTGGAACACCATCTGAAATCAGAACCAAAACAAGCCGGCGTGATCCATATAACACGAACGATGAGCGGGACTGAGGAGCATGAAAGAATTGAAATGTGATGTGTAAAACAAAGATTTTGGGAACTAACTCGAACAGCATGGATCTAAAATCCTCCACCTGGGGAACGTTTTGCTCAATAACAAAGTTAATCCCAATTTCCAAAACTGGCAAAATATATTCGGCTGTAAGGCTTGGTCAGGTTGTCACATAAGCAAGCACTGGCTCTTTTGCTGCTTCAAACTAACATTATTGTAGAACGTAAATTTTAAAAGAAATGAACGGGGATGAAATGGTGTCCAATGTTAAGGGTTTCACTTGAACGACGATCGTACCTTCGCAGAGCCCTTGTGCCTATGCGTGTCACTATTTAAGTATTGCGCTTTGCAGCTTTTGCACTAAGCATGCTGGCTGACAGAATCTCAGCAGAGTGGCAGGCCTGTTCGTGCTCCAGCTCGTATACACGCCAGACCTCATTCACAGCTTGTCCTCTGCTTTGCTTGACTTCGCTTTCCGCTGCAGACCATCCCAGGACGGAAACATCAAGACCTTGACCCCACCTTGAAACATGACCTCAGTTTAGAGGAGTGTGCAAGGCTGTGACGGCGCCTCGTGACCTCTCTTCAATTCAGGGACGTCACGATGGTGACATGTCACGGGCTCAGTTTCCACACGAGCTGACAGCGCTGCAAGCCATGAAGTGACACTGAAGACCCCACGCCTTTCACATGTAACCTCCAGCTGGCTGGCTGGGCTCTCATCGCTCTCACAGCTTACCATGCAGTCACGCTATGGCGCCGATGGCACGGTGTACGCGCTTGTCTCTTACCGGTGAGTTGGCTTTGATCGATGCTGGCACGCCGCGCACTACGGAACACCTGTAACAACTGGAGGTCTCTTTTCAATGGCTACGTAAGCACAAAGTAAAACACACTTTCTCTTCATGTGATGAAGTGGGCATTAACGCTGCTTTTCGCTATAGTTATGGTCAAGAGAAAAGGATGGCACAATCTGCCCGCGATTCAACACTAGAAACTAACTAAAATACAAGGCTTACTTACCCCAAATTCAGCTCGTACCCAACACCAGGGGCGATGGCAGTGCTGTCCCTGTGCCCTCACCCCGTGACGTGACCGTTACCCGCTGCATGTGATGCGCAGTTCTGGGAGATCTGTGCCGACGAGCACGGCCTCACGCCGGAGGGCCAGTACGTCGGCACGTCGGATCTGCAGATCGAGCGCATCAACGTCTATTTCAACGAGACGGGCGGCGCCAAGTACGTGCCGCGCGCGGTGCTGGTGGATCTGGAGCCAGGCACCATGGACGCCATTCGGGCCAGCGCCATCGGCGGCCTCTTCCACCCGGACAGCTTCATCAACGGTGGGTGTCGGTTGATGATGATGGCCGCAGGCCAATCGACGCTCGTAGGCCTGGTGAAGATCACGCGGTGGAAGCCAAGCGGAGAAAACCAGTGTGGACCTGCTGCGATGTAGCTCAGATCGGAAGGCCATTAGATCTAAATCTAACAAGCGGTGGTCTGATCATCCGACCCCCGGCAATTGATGACTGGTGACTGGCAAGCAATGACTGACAACTGGTGACTGATGACTGGCAACTGGTGATTGGTGACTGGTGTTTGGTGACTGATGACTGGTGACCAGTAATCGGTAATCGGTGACCGGTGACCAGTGACCGATGACTGGTGACTGGTGACCGGATACTGGTGACTGGTAGCTGGCGGCCGGTGACCGGTGGTCGGTGACCGGTGACTGGTGACTGGTGACTGGTGACCGGTGACTGGTGACTGGTGACTGGTGACTGGTGACTGGTGACTGGTGACTGGTGACTGGTGACTGATGACTGGTGATTGATAATTGGTGACTGATGATTGGTGATTGGTGACTGGTGACTGGCGATGCCGGGGTGACAGACTGTTCTCGCCGGGCATGGTAGAGACGAAAACACCTTCCGTGTCACCTGGATAGCTCCGGCAAGGATGGGAGCTGGGCCTCATCGATGCCGTCGTGAGCTACATCGATCACTAGCCGAGATAGCCTGTAAGCTTTGATCACAATAGTGCATCCCAAAACCTAACATCTGGATTATGTCGTCGATGGTTTCTATGGAACCGAGCATTCACTCTCAGAATCCAGACACATGTCTGGTGTCTGCTGCAATATCATTCATGTTACAGAACAATGTGTAGGTCTGCGATCACATGACACTGTAGAGCATGCTGACTAAACGAACCATGTTTGCAGGTTCTTCCGGAGCTGGAAACAACTGGGCCAAAGGCCACTACACGGAGGGCGCTGAGCTCGTGGACCAAGTTCTTGACGTCACAAGAAAGGAGGCGGAAGCCTGTGACTGCATCCAAGGCTTCCAGCTGACCCACAGCCTGGGCGGCGGCACCGGCTCCGGCATGGGCACCCTCCTTATTTCCAAGGTGCGTGAGGAGTACCCGGACAGAATCTTGTGCACCTACTCGGTCATGCCATCGCCCAAGGTGTCCGACACCGTCGTCGAGCCGTACAACGCTACTCTCTCCACTCACCAGCTGGTGGAGAACACGGACGAAACATTCTGCATTGACAACGAGGCGCTGTACGACATCTGTAACAAGCAGCTGAAGCTGCCGACGCCGACCTATGGTGACCTGAACCACCTCATCTGTCTAGCCATGTCCGGCCTGACCACGTGCCTTCGCTTCCCGGGCCAGCTGAACGCCGACCTCAGGAAACTGGCGGTGAACATGGTGCCCTTCCCCCGTCTGCACTTCTTCGTGCCGGGCTTCGTGCCTTTGGTGTCACGCCAGAGCCAGGGGTACAAGGCTCTGTCGGTGGCAGAGCTTACACAGGAGATGTTCGACGCCCGAAACATGATGGCTGCCTGCGACCCGCGCCACGGACGCTACCTCACCGTAGCCGCCATCTACCGCGGTCGCATGTCCATGAAGGAGGTGGACGAGCAGATCGTGTCCGTGCAGACCAAGAACAGCAGCTACTTTGTCGACTGGATACCGCATAACGTGAAGACGGCCGTCTGTGACATCCCGCCGCGCGGACTCAAGATGTCGGCCACATTTGTCGGCAACACCACCGCCATCCAGGAGTTGTTCAAGCGCATTTCGGAGCAGTTCACAGCCATGTTCCGGCGCAAGGCCTTCCTCCACTGGTACACGGGCGAGGGCATGGATGAGATGGAGTTCTCTGAGGCGGAGAGCAACATGAACGATCTGATTGCCGAGTATCAGCAGTACCAGGAGGCGAGTGCCGACGACGATTACGACGAGGATGAGGAGGATGCGGGCAACGACTACGACCGCAACGACGACGGCGGTCGCAACGACGACTACAACGATCGAGATAGCTACAACGACAGAAACGACAGCTACAACGACAGGAACGACTACGACGATCGCAACGACGACCGTCAAGAGGACGATGCCTACTAGTCCGGCTATACGGGTGGCACGGCATGGCTGAGTTAGTTTTTTTTTCACAGACCTTGCGACCGTGCGTGCGATGGGCGTGTCTGCCCATACGCGCGGCAGTTGTAGCGGAAACACTTGGCCTTTGTTAGGGCGTGTTCTGGTTATTTCTGCTTACGTTTTGCGGCTGGCATCGTGCTGTGTTCTGGCACAACAGTGCCTCGTAAAGCTTCGTTCGCACCATCCGCCAGAGTTGACACGTGAAGCTGCGTACCACAGCCTTAGCTGGCGATGGATATCAGAGACTATGCCTAGCTGTAAAACCGGTACGTTACTTCGATGTTCATGTGTGCCGTGAATTTCGTGGAGTCGCCGGTGTGAAGCCTGTCACCCTCTGCTGTGATATTTTATTGCTAGCAGTGCCCTTCGGAAGATTTTGGAGTTAAGACTCAACTTGTCCCAGCATTTGACTTGGACCTCAGTTGAGCCTGCTGCAAATCAGATGCGGGATTCATGTACACATGTACATGTACACACAAAATAACAGCTGTGGTGTTCATGTTTCGTACGAGTGCATGCCGTGATTGCCAAGTCGGCGCACGATAAGGGCAGCTCGATAGGGCATGTTCAGCCTGATGATTGGTCATGAATTCGCAACAGGCATCTGGAAACCTGCAACGCAATGATGTTCGTGTAAATCATCCACTGTGGGGTTGTTTTTAGCAGACGTTTGTATTGACGTGTTTGATTTGTAACAGGAAGGGATGACACTCAGCCGGATGGTTACCCATTAGTTTTAGTTCCTTAAAGTTGATGTTAAGTATCACTCCATCGTGTGGTTCCGTGGAGAGTTGTGTTGTTTATCACCTTTATTAAAATGTAAATATGCTAATACAGTATTTGGCATCGAGAAGCTAATTTTTGTCAGATGTATTTACAGACGCTGCTTCGAAGAGAGGTGTGGCGATGTGATGGGGTCAACACCACCACCACCAAGGTCACCAAGTATATCCCGGCAGATATGTGTCTGGATGCCAAGGGTAGATCAAAGGTCCCATAATGTTCCATCCTCATAGGATCTCGGGATCTTTTTTGGCTCCAGACACATGTCTGTGTCCTCGTGCATTCAAGGTCAACAGCTGTCAGTATAAGAAATCTGATCCCATAAGCTGAAAAACAGATCAAGCCCTTCCTGGCTTAGATCAAGTGGCCTATTTGTTTGATGAAAGAACTGTCAGCAGTAAGATCATTCGAAGCTCTGTTCAGAAGTCATTCTCAGAGCTTTCCAAATGTACCAATGCATGAAATAGTTTTAAAGCTCATATCTATACTACGTGGTGGTGATCATAGTCGTTGGAGAACCATGATATTGAGCGAACGGTCCCTTTTCGGGAGAATTCAACCCTCGCTGACAAAGTAATGCTGCCCTTATCTTACATGTAGACTTTGCGATATAGGGTGAGGGTCAGTGAAGGCGACTTGGTTGGATCAAAAACTAGTGAACAGAAGCTTTGGACTTGAAAAAGTTAAGGTTGATTGACTCGCCAGAAGGACTGGCGTGGGCGTGGTCAGCACCAGTTGACCTATCATGCCGGACAATTAGAAACCTGCTTCACTAGATGGCAATAGTGTTCCACATTCGTACGGGGTTTTGAACTGAAATAGCCATCTTGGAGATCCTTCGGTGCAGTTCACAGCCCTGTACCTCCTAAAATCTAAATCCCTGCAGTTTCTAACCCCACACGCCGGCAAAATGTGCAGAATACTTCATGTAGACTTTTTAGGGCTACCCAAGCATCCATGACGCCATAATAACGTCATTCTAACGATGTCATTCCATTGGACATGCGGCGTTCAAGGACGCGACAAATAGACTTGTCGAATTGCTCATATCTGAAGCTCACGAGCACGATTTCTTGATAGAACGACCGTCATTTGGCTTTCAATCAATGTCATGTAAAACACGATGACGCAATCAAACAATAACGTCTTGAGCAGCATATTTAGTTACAGAAATATTGTGTTGTCTAGAGCAGTCTTCCTACTTGAAAGGATACCAGTAGTTATAAGCAAGCTTATTTCGTCGCGTCTCATGTTTGCTTCAATATCTTCAAATGTGAACCATTTCCGGTATGTTCCGTTTTGACGGATTGTTACTCCCAACCGTTCCTCATTCCTTCGTCACTAATTTCATTTTCATCCGTCAGTGTCGTCAGCTGTGTCGCCTCCTGTTCGCTGTTTGCGATGCGTGTCACGTCGTTCCGAGGCGCGCCACCGTGTTGAAAGGTTCGGCCTCGCCGATCGTCGACCCCTCATCGGTCGCGACGCGCCCCGCCAGTGACAACAGCCTTATAGGTGTCCGTGCTAAGTTTTTTGGTTTCGTCCAACTGACCTCGGTGACCTTGTGATCTACTTTTCTTTCTCCAGATAGAGGTTAGCTCGGCGCGAGAAGCTTTGTTTGTTAGGCGGCTAAGACTCGCAGCCCTGGGGTACGCGACGAAGACATGCATGTGATGCGGCGGGCCCAGGTGAGGCTTTCAGGAGCGTATCGTGATCATTCGATCATCTCAACTTCAACATAAACAAGATTTGCTATGTATTGCGACGCGTCTTCTAGCACATGCAAGCGCTTCTAGCACATGCGACTAAAAATCCCTTACCGACATCCTGTTTCTATGTGGGTGACACTCACGTCGTTAGCAACAAACAAATATTGAGTCACAATCTGACACATTTCAGCCTGAAAGCGTGAGCGTGGGTTGGCCGTGGATCACCCAATGTTTTTACTGGGTGAAATGAGAGTTACTCCAAACGTGCTCCTCGACCAAGTGAACTTCATGAGGATCCCTCTCTGCGAAGAAACTTGTTATGCAGAATACGCCATTGCTCCCGAAGGGAGTTTGAACGACGTTCAAGCTCTTGCGTGAGCTTTGTGAAACGGAAAGCTTCACTGACGGACGGACAAGCCTGCAGGGCTGGGCTGAAACTATCTACATAGAATACAGCATGATGCGATAATAGTCTTTCTTCGTGTAATTAAAATAGTCGGTACATAGGTACCCTGATAGACCCTTACCATTAGATCACCGCAAAATTGACGTCAAGCTTAGTAAGAGTCTTCAGCCAGCAGAGCTCGACGTGCAATAGACAATACACAGCAGGCGGTGGAGGTAAACACCTAGAGAGTTCACCAGCGGCCTCAGACGGTGTACATGTGACTTCGAGTGGTGCGGATGACCTTCGACAGCTCACATGTGACCTCAAATGGTAGACAGGCCACCTCATACCGTACACGCGTGACCTCAGACGGTACACGCGTGACCTCAGACGGTACACGCGTGACCTCAGACGGCGCAGCTGGACGAGTGGCCGGACAGCTGAACGTTGCGGCCGAAGACCATGCGGACGTGCTCGGCGCCAAACTGGCCGTAGACGAAGATGTCGCGGGCCGGGTAGTGCAGCTGTCGCAGCGAGCTCAGAGAGGAGATGATCATGGTCGGACCGCCACACAGCACCATCTGGCGAGACAGCGGAGACATACTCTGAGACCACACAACGGCGCAAAGGCACACACTATCAGAGATTGATTGAAAAACGTTCACGACACATGCGTTGTTTCGGTGGGTTTCATTTGCGACACCTGCAAGAATATTTCAGGTTATCAGATGCGCACGAAAACTAGGCCCATTGACACCTAACAGCGCCCGAAGCGCAGGTCGGTCAGCAGCGGCGGCCCGTCATGTTTGAGGACAGTGCAGCGTTACTTTCTTTGCAGCATGTGTTGCTGTGTCCGGCAACGGTGTTGTGTTACCTTGCAACGGCGTCCGTTGGGTTTTGGTACGGTGCGCTGGATCATGTCGGTATCGATGAAGCCTTCCTCGCCGTCCCAGTTCTCCGGCGCCTCGCCCAGGCTGTACAGGATTTTCAGCCTACAGTCGCTGGCTGATGAAGAGAAGAAGACGATATAAGAGAGGCACACAATAGCCTCCTTTACGTACAGCATATCGGAATTTGTGTTAGATTAGTACAAAACCTCAGTAAACATCCATGTTTAACAGCGTGGTCGCATTTTAAATGGGACGATGCGTTCATGGAACGAAAATGTCAACTTAGCTACGCTGTGTCCAGATGCACATGAGCAGCACCTTCCTAACAACAGCTCAGCCAACCAGTGACAACCACAATCGAATGAAGGTGCCGTGATCTCACAGGCGTCCTCCTGCTCTGCGCAAGCGCTGAAAGGTTAAAAAACCGCGTTGGCGTGCGCTCCATGTCTCTTCGTCTTCGGTACCCAATCAGCTTTTAGTTCAAGGGAATGTTCCACACCTAAAGATATTGAAGAAAGCATCAGATTTTGTATATGTTTTAAAATTTTTCATAAGTTTTATCCGAACCCTTTGAATGGATGGCCTTCTGGTATCAGCGCTCACGCTAAGCAGTGCCTGTTGTGTGAGCCCTGACCCTCACCATCCGATCGCGCAATTTCAGGTAACGGCAGAATTTAGTGGTGAGAGCTTAACGTGCCGCAATGCTCGGAACGGTCCGTCCTGCCCTCTGACGTCAACTGACCTTTAGCGCGACCGCTGCCACCGGCCACAGGCCACACCTGTCAAGGGCATACAGCAAACGCCCTAAAGCGACTCGAACCCATCCCACCACGAGTGGGTGGATCGGAACCCAGACGCTCTAACCAACTGAGCCACCTGGATGGACAAATATAATGAAATGGATTTGGGCAAATCAAATTCGTGCGCAAGATCTACTGAAATAATCTCACTTATGATTGTTGGTATGCTCTTAAGTGGAAAAGACTGCTCTAGACGACATATTTTCTCTGTTTAGTAAATATGCTCCGCAATACATGACTGTTCAGACACATCGGCGCAGCATGTCTCAAGCATCATATCTGCGCTAAATTCAGGCTGTGTTAGTTTCGTTTCGCCGGTCGGCTGGATGCATTTTGACCTTTGCCTAATATCTTTGGCAGTCCAGGAACAGCTTATCTCATGTAAACGGGGCCTACG